ATATAAATGATAATATAAGTAATATAAATAAGTAATATAAATAATAAGTAATATATGAGCTAGCTGGAATCCATATTCACTATCCTCTTTTAAATTTCTTGTCCATATGCATCTGAAATACATGTTATCTTTCTGCATTTCCAATAATATATCATAATGAATGATTGAATCACACAAATAATAAGTTATAAGATATGGTAGTATATTACCAAGATATCATTATAGTATGTTATGTACACTTCAAAAAGACTATGATCAACATAAATTGATATTATAGGATGTAAGTCTTCTGAGTCTTCTGAAACCAATTTACTGGTTTTTAAGCTGATTTTACTCATATATCTGAAAAATTGTTGAAACAAATATGAACAAAGTAAAAAAAAGCTGTTGATAGCATTGGTATATGTTTAATGCTTACCTGTCACTTTCATTTGACTTTGTTTCACCTAAAATACATGGATAAATGTATTCATCATCTTGCTTCCTCATTACTAATAAGTCTAATTGAGGATTCTAACTCCATAGTTCATTTTCAAATTTTACTATAAGCAAATTTTTTTATTATCATCCCTGTAACCGTTCTTAATTGCGAATATGTAATACGAAATTTATTTCACGCGTAACGCGCTAAATTAAAACGAAACGTTACAACTTTACTTATATTATTTGTTATATTACTTATTATTTATATTACTTATTATTTATATTACTTATTTATATTACTTATATTATCATTTATATTACTTATATTATTATTATTTATATTATTTTCTTTATGTATATGAGTTACAAATTAAGTGCTGCAGCTTTCCGGGAAATTCTAAGATATTGTTATGATTGATAATAATTTATTTATTTAATTGTAATATTATATTATGCATTTTTGTATAAAAAGATACAAAAGAATAATTCTAAAAAAACACAAAAAGAATTGGAAAAAAATAAATGGTGAAATGAAAGGTAAATTGAATATTAGTGAAAATAAAGAAAAAGAATTAAACCAAAAAGTGGAAGTTTTAGAAGCAGAGGATGCTATTTATGAGAAGCAAATTCCGTAATTAAAGAAGTTTATGAAAGAGTAGCAAAAGAAAGCCTTCCGTAATAACTTGTATTTTTTAATAATAATTAAAACAATTAGTATTTTGACGTAAGGAAAAGGGATTTCTTTACAATCCCAGTTAAACATTTCTTGAATTTTTTTTTTTAAAAAAATATTTTATTTATTTTGATTCAACAAAAAGAAATACATAATGATTTATATATATATGAATATTAAAATATTAAAAAAAGCAAGATAAAACTACCAGAGCAATTGTATTAAATCAGCATTTGCACATGATGGTAGAAGAAAAAACGAAGATGGTTGCAACGTTTGTCAGAATCAAATAATACTGACAGAGGATTCAAAACTTTCACCTTTACCAGTTATAACTCGCTGGAATAGTTGGTTTGATTTTGTATTTTAGTTAGATACTAATTTCTTACATTTAGTTTCATTTATTCCAAAGAAGTCATTAATTTCTGATGCACCAAAATCAATAGTGAAATTCTTTCAAATCCTCATGAAACTTTTTAGTGGGTGAAATTCTGATTGGCTAATTTGAATTTCACATATGTGAATTGCGAATTCACATAATTTCATTTTCACGTACAACAGTAACTTTAAATGTCAAAAGGTAACAGAATTTAAAAAAAAAATTTTTTCCTATTATTAATAAATAATAATTGATCCAAGGCTTAGAATTTTTAAAATTCGTGACAAGGCTATATCACCTTATGTTTCCCTTTTGCATTGAAAAATTTATCAAGAACTGGCGTTGAAAATCCTTCTTTAAATCAAAATATGATTAATTCATGTAGAATTCAAAATGCATTAGAAAAATCTTTAATACCATCATTTTCATTTTCTCAAGCCTTTAAACTTGCCTTTAACAAATTATGTAAACATGTATGCTAATAGACATTTGGCATTACCACCTTTTAAAGAATTCCAATGCTTTAATCCAAAATTTATTAGAGCTTCTTCATTTTTAAAAAATATTCATATATCAAGGAATTTATAAATCTAGAAAATGAATTGATTAATGAATGGAGGAAAATTAAATGTTCTAGAATTGCTTTATATATAGTCTCCAATGTCTGGGGTGGATGCAGATTAGAATGCTTAATGTTTTATATTATAACAAATAAAAATTGTTTATTATGATAAATTTATAAAGATGTGCTGATACACATGTAAACTCAATAAGTCGGATGCAGCAATCAATTGTTTAAAATACTTGATAATATAGATAAATGACCGACTTATTGAGTCTACATGTGTAATGATAAAGACATGATAAGAATAACAATGGGGCATGTTTTTTCTATTTGGTAAGATCAACATTTGTCCATTTCATTCTTTCATTTATTCTTGAAAGTTAACAATGAATCAAAGCTCTAAAAATAAAGAATTTGTAGATTATGTCAATTCATTGCCTGGAACTCAAATAAAAGAAAAACTTCGTTGGTATTGGTCAGATTTCACAAATCAAAAAGATTTTGATAATGCGGTGTATATTGATTGTATAAACTTTTGGAAGAAAATTTTAGACGAGTGTAGTAGGCGTAAATGGTTAGGCGAAGATGTTTTTTGCATAGAAATAAGCGACTCCACCAAACAAATATTTGCAAGTTATAATGGACATGAACCTATTGGGATTCAATGTGTTATTGTATGTTTTATTCTTTTATTCTCACTTGGTTATTGTTTTTTTTTTTCTTCATCTAATTGTATTTTCCCATTGTTTTTTTTTATTTGCTTTCTAAAACAATAATTAGAAAGAAATGCATTCAAAATCAGAATTAATACCTCTTGAAGAGTATTGTTCAACTTTTATTTCACAGGGTTGGTTAAGTTGGATATACACTAGGTTAGTATCACAACCAATAGCATGGACATTTCAAAATTTAACAGGATCAGAGCCTACTAATATTATTTCAGGAAAATGGGTGAAAATTGATAAACTGAAAGAATCATCAACCAAAATTATTCAACTTCATGAAAAAATTGCATTAAATCGGATTTCTGATAATCTTTATACACTTGCTACATTTAAGTCAGAATTTGCAGCTAAAGTAATTCCTGGTTCGATGCTTACAGATACTGACATAAAAGTGCTAATCACTTATTTAGAATATGATCTTAAAGTCATCGTAACAAAAAGTTTGAGTAATGGGTCTCCTCATAAATATGATAGCAATCCTGATGATTTGGTGATCAAGTTTTGTTTGAAAAAATATAAATTGAAACTTGAAATTACGGAATTGGATTGTAACATTATTACAATAAAGGAAACATCACGGAAACTACATGAACAAATTCAAGATATAGAAACTCGAATCAAAGAGTATATATGTACTTTTGAATTAGCGAATTATTGTGAATTACTTTTTTTTTTTTTTGTAATTTTGACTATTATTTTTTATGGGGGTTTTTTTTATTAGGTTAAAGACAGCTGCTAGTAAATATATTTCTCTTAAGCAGAAAACACTAGCAATGAAATATTTGCGAAAAAAACTAAAACTTGATAAAATTTTAGTTAAAAGAATAAACTCTTTGGAAGCAGTCGAAACAATCCTATTAAAAATTCAAGAAGCTGTATCTGATGCAGAGGTAAAAAGATTTTAAATTTTAAATTTCCTCCACATTAACTTCCAATTTTAATCAATATTTATTTCTCCATTCCTCCACATCATATAAAAAGATAATTGAAGGTTATAAAGCTGGGGCTGATGCATTGCAAAATACTTTGGTTATAAGTGGTCTAACAATTGATAAAGTAGATGAAACAATGGATCATCTACAAGAAGTTCTTGCAGATCAAAAGGAAATTGAAGATGCTATGAAATCAGGACAGGATTCAATACTTGTTGCAGCATTAAATAATGATGTTGACGATGAATTAGAAAAAGAATTAGAGAATTTATTAGCTGCAGAAGAAGAAAGAAAGGTGGTGAAAGAAGAAGTGAAGCAACCAATAAAAGAAAAAAATCAAGAGTTAGAAAAATTAGAAACAAAATTACATGACTTGAAGGTTGAAGCATCATCTATACCAGATAAAAATCCCAATTATATTACACCTTCTTCCCCTTCTTCTTCTTCATCATCGCACAAAAATAAACAAGCATTTTTGTTAGAACCATGATTTTGATTTATTTATTTATATAATTGATTTAAATTTTTATTAGTTTCAATAATAATTTCTATAAAAATTTCTATACATTAAAAAATGAAATCTAATTTTACGTTCCACCACTCATTTCTGTATCCTCTTCAATTCCTCGAATATATAGAACATTATTACATCTATTATATATATTATATAAATTATATAAGTGATAATTGAAAAAAAATATACATATCTTTTTTATATGTTTACATTTATACTCACCTAATCAATACTTCACCAAGTGCACCAGTTGAATTGCCATCGATAAATTCTTCTGTGTTAGCAAGTTGTATATTCATATAAGAATCAACTGACATTAAGTACCCTTTATATTCCATGCCCCATTTCAAACGTACCATAACAGGTTTACCTGTTAATTCTTGTAAAAAAGGTTTTGGATTTACTGGTTGAAACTGAATTAAGTTTATTTTATATAAAATAATTTAATTAAAAGATGATAAAATTTAAACATACTAAAAAAATGAAAAATTTACCGCCATTATTTTCTTTTTGATAAAAAAGATGATAATAATAATGGTGTGCATATCATCTATATATATCAATCATGACGACGATCATCACCATAAGGCCCCCCTTTCAAATTTCAGACATGTATTAGTATGGTAAGGATCTGTCCGATCTGAGGCATGAACGGTTTGATTTTCTTCTTTATTTTTAATATCAATCTAGCAAGTCATAACACCACCAATGATTAACTGCTTTGATTGATGTGAAAATAAAGCAGACTGAATTTACGGCATGCCATCGAAAAGTCAAATATTTTATACAGTCAAACCTCGTCACGGAACCAGCCAAAAAAATCCGTTGTGACAAGAAATCCGCTATGGTGATGATTGTTTAAAATACCTCCAAGCAATATTACTTTTTTTGCTTCCTCCTCATAAATCATTTATTTTTCATGAGTTTGAGAATTAACAGTATTTAAATCACTCAAAGACGATGGCGTTTTTAGGCTTAGAGCAGGACTAATACACACAAATATAACAATCATGATTGTTTTAATATATTAATTTCTGATTGCATAATTATTTGATAGGTGAAAAATGAAAAACAATGTTTATTTATTTATTTATTATAATTAATTGAAAACAAATTTTCTAATGATTTTTTTTACATACTTTTTTTTTACAAGGCATTTTATTACATCAATTCTTTCAAGCCATTTTGGTTCAATAGATCTAACCTTTTGTACTCATATATCTACCTTTATGCAATCAAAATCCCACGAATTTATTTTTTTTAGATGTGATTTAAATTGTTTTATGAGTATCAAATATTTCCTTTGCATCTAGTAGCTCATTCACTTGACCTTTTTATACAAATTTTTTTCACCCTTCTTCATAGCCAAATCGTAAAAATCAGTAATTCAATGAATGGCAACACAAGAAACATATGTTAATGTAGACATGACAATAAACGCATCCGCATGTGGAAAAAAAAAGAAAGACATAAGGTGTAAAAATAAACACATAGTTACATAGGTACATGTTCTTAACAATTTCGAACACGTTGATTGACAGCAACAACAATCAATGATGGGCGAAGGAACACATGTTAACATTGCAGCATGGATGACATGACAATAAACATATGCACGTAGCATAAAAAAAAGAAAGATGTATGGTGTAAAAATAAACACTTAGTTACACAGGTACATGTTCTTAACAATTTAGAACACACCGAATGTTCACCAATGATTTGTAACAAACATGTTGATCATCACGGCCATGATCTCATGCGCCTGAATCAAGAATCAACGGATAAATGTAGATCTCAAATTGAGGTGCATTTGTTGGTTGGAACTTAAAATTGTTGAACTTTTCATT